AGTCACAGCAGTTTGATCAGTTGAACAGTTTTGGGAAGACCTAGGATTATTGTCTCCTTGACTACAGGGCAGATCCCAGTTTTTCAGTTTTCAACAGGCCTGTGATCTTACTGTGCTTTCCTGAGGGCTTATGGAATGATACTTAACCTTCTAGTAACATTATGTTGACAGTTTAGTCTGTGAGTGGGTCTGAGTGACTTATCTCAAACCTCACTTTGATGAGCCTGCATTGTTGACATTTCTGAGTTGCTTTCTTCTATTTCAGATTAAATTACACGATTTTTTTTAGATTTATTTACTTTAATTTTTATGTGCATTAGTGTCTACCTTATATATGTGTACCACATGTAGGGCTGGTGCCCTGAGAGGTCAGAACAGAGCATTGGATCCCCTTAGTACTGGAGTTACAGAAGGTTCTGAGATGCTGTGTGAGTGCTAGGGGCCAAACGTGGGTCCTCAGCAAGAACAAGTGCTCTTAACTGCTGAGCCATCTCTTCAGCCCCGTGATTCCTTTCCTTTTTAAATGCAGTATATATAATCTTTTTCATTTTAGAGGTACCTAGCTATGATTATAGATGACTCTTTATGATTTCAAATAAAATTTTAAATATTCATTATCTATCATTCTTGATTTTAGAAACTTAATCTGTCATTTAAAATGATTGAGCATATCTTGGTTAAGAGCACTGGCTTCTCTCTCAGGGGACCCTTGTTTTATTCCCAGCACTCACAGGATGACTCTCAACTGTCTGTAATTTCAGTCCCCAGAGATCCTCCATCTCTTGGCTTTCCAGGCACCAGGCCCACATGTGGTATACAGACATACATTCAAGAAAACACCTATATACATTAAAAGGAAAAAAATAAAATAACTGAGCCCAAATGAGTGGAGAGCTCAGTGTCTATGAATTTGAGGCAGACTTCAGGGCAATTTGAGAGGACTGTAAAGTTGAGGTCAGAGTTCAAAGCGTGCTGTACTGTCCATGCTCTCTTGAGAATGCTGCCCCCAAATTGCACTCTATTTGGAACGCTGACAGATGAGAATTACAACCCCTCCACTTAGCTGAAGAGCAATAGTGATAGTGTGAGGACCTGAAGTCAGAGAGTATAAGGACGGTTAATGTTTTCTTTTTTTGACCTGAATTTACATCTTGCGAGGAAGACTGTAAGCACTAGAACATATCAGTAGCCCTGTGCAAGTCATAGTTTATGGTCAACACCAATGTAAGATGTTCTCAAGTGTCCAAAATTCCTTTTGAGTTATTGGAATATTTATTAAATATTTAAGAGCAAAAGGTGTATTAGTGAAGGGAAAAGAGTGGGAAGAGGGAGAACTTGTTAGATTCTGTCTTCCCAAGCCTCTGTCTTTTCTAAGATCATCAGGTTTGTGTCCTTGTATTGCCTTCTCTTCTAGGTTACCACTGTGAGCCCTACAATAACCCTGCAGACTTCTTCCTGGATGTCATCAATGGAGATTCTTCTGCTGTAGTGTTAAATAGAGATGAAGAAGGCCAGGAAGGTATGTGACTCTTGTAGATTCATACATTAGTGTCTGCTTGATTTGATAAAACTGCAGTAGTGTGGCTCATTAAAACATGCTTTTGTAGGACAACCAGAACTGCAATAGTGAGATCATGCCTCAAAACGAAAGAAAAAGATGCTTTTAAATTCATGTTAATTCAGTGCTGTGAAAGTAGTCAGTAGACAGACTGTTGTCTGAAAGTGCTTGGGTGTTTATTTAATTTTTAAGTGAGTATCTTCCTTCAAAGTGTCAGTTGTAAGGCAACTTTCCACTTGAAAATGGTTATTTTTTTAAATAGTATTAGTCAGGGTTCTCTAGAGGAATAGAACTAATAGATTGGATATGTATGTATGCATATGTATATGTATGCATATATGAATGAGGCTTACAGGCTGTGGTCTAGCTAGTTCAAAAATGACCGTCTACCAACAGGAAGTCCAGCAATCCAGTAGTTGTTCAGTCCATGAAGCTAGATATCTCAGCTGGTCTTCAGTGTATCTTGGACTCCTGAAGAAGTAATCTCTAATGCCAGTGAAGGAATGCCTCAGCAGCAGGAACTTGCCAGTAAGAATGAGGACAAGCAGACAAGAAGCAAGGGCTTCCTTCTTCCATATCTTTTATATAGGCTGCCACCAAGAGGTATGGCCATCTTAAAAGATCCAGATTTAGGGTTGGTCTTCCCACCTTAAATTAGTCAACCAAGAAAAGTCACTCACAGGTGTACCCAGCCACTTGGGTTTTAATTAATTTCAGATGTAGTCAAGTTGACAAATAAGATTAGCCATCACAAGTATTTTATAAGTCAACCAGACATGGTGGTTCAATGCTTTTAATCCCAGCCCCCAGTACTTGAGAGGCAGAAGTAGGCAGATACCTGTGAGTTCAGGGCTAGCCTGGTCTACAAGATACCTGTGAGTTCAAGGCCAGCCTGGTCTACATGGCAAGTTTCAGGCTAGCCAAGACTACATGGTGATCTCCTATCTCAAAACAAACAAAAAACAAAAACCCCAAGAAATGACCCTTTATACATTTGTGCATAGTAGAAGGCAAAAAAAAAAAAAAAATTCTAACTCTGTACAGTATAATGTCTATTTGAATAATTAGAGTCTAAACTGATTGAAAAGTTTTCTGCATCCCTAAGATGTGGCCATGCACATATGAATAATTGCTGTTTTCCTGATGTGTAAATCAATAATGGCATATGTAATTTTACTATTTTGAGAGTGTTTTACTATGTAGCCCTGGCTGTCCTTGAACTCATGTAGACCAGACTGTCCTCAGCTTCCCAGAGATCCATGTGTCTGCTGAATGCTGGGGTTAAAGGCACATTCCACCATGTCTGTCACCACTCCAGAGGCAGTGGGATCTGGGAGAGTGGAGCTGATAAATGAGATGAACTAAAGTCCCATGCACCAGCCAACTTTATTCAGGGCCTCGGACAGTTTATACTCTGAGGGTTAAGAGTAGTTATGAGTAAAGTTCTCATGAGTTCAAGCTCTACACAATCACAAGGACAAGCACACGTGGAAAAAAAATAAAAACAAAACCCCCCAAAACGTGTTGTTTTTCCATAGCAGCATGTAAAGGACAGTTTAAACATTTAATTGAATAATAGCAGCAAGCAATAATGAGTGATCTGAAGTAAACTCACTCCTATCTGCTATACCTGGGGGGAGCACAAAGACACTTTCTAAGAACAAGTCTGTTTTGAAGAAACTGAAGTCACAAAGCATCTTAGTTAGGGTTATATTGCTGTGAAGAGAGACACCATGACCACAGCAACTCTTACAAAGGAAAGCATTTAATGTGTCTGGCTTTAAGTTGGTTGGTTCAGAGGTCTAGTCTATTGTCATCCTGGTGGGAAGCATGGTGACAGACAGGCAGACATGGTGCTGTAGAGTAGCTTAGAGTTCTTTATCTGGATCCACAGGCAACAAGAAGAGACAGTGAGACACTGGGCCTGGCTTGAGCATCCAAGACCTCAAAGCTTGCCCCTAGTGACACACTTCCCCCAACAAAGCCACACCTATTCCAACAAGAACACACCTCCTGGAAAAAAAAAAAAAAGAACACACCTCCTAATAGTGCCACTCCCTATGAGCCTGTGGGGCCATTTTCATTCAAACCACCACAACAAGACACTTGTCTTGTTTTCTTGGAGTGTTCTCACAAGCACTCAGAATTCTCCTTACATGACTTCATTCCTGAACCATGCTCTAACATATGCCCAGCCAACATATATATACACACACATACATACATATATACATTGTGTGTGTATGTGTGTGTATATATATATATTATAGTATAATATATATATATACATATATATATATTAGAATTAAGGGATTATAGAAGGATGGAACCATAGAAAATGAGTCAAATTAGTTATGTGTTAATGTTTCATTTTTTTATCCACATTTTTCCAAAGCAAACAAAACTGAAGAACCCTCCAAGAGAGAGAAGCCGATAATAGAAAACTTAGCTGAGTTTTATACCAACTCCTCCATATACAGAGAATCAAAAGCTGAATTAGATCGACTTCCGAAGGCTCAGAAAAAGAAAGGAATATCAGTCTTCAAAGAGTCCGAGTATGTTACCTCCTTCTGTCATCAGCTCCGATGGATTGCCAAGCGCTCATTCAAAAACTTGCTGGGGAATCCTCAAGCTTCTATAGCTCAGGTAACCTGACAAATGCCAGTCATGCTATGAAATATTCACGAGGACAAACATGGTTCCTGATTCTTCTTCTCCTGCAACTATTATATATGCTTCAGGATTTTATTTATTTTCTAGTTATCTTTCTATTTTTCTGTCATTTCCACTGTATCTTAATTAACGGATACTGAAGTTTCAATTTCAAACAACACTGATAACAAAATTGTAAACAACACTCTCTTTGTGGTTCTCTCCCCTGAGTAGTGAAATTTGGTGAAAGTCATTCTTAGTTAATGAGTGTCCAAAAATAGGCAGTTGGTGCAGTTTGTCATTTGTGCCACAGTTTACCTACCTTTGCATGGGATTTTTTTTTATAATCTGTTTTTTAAATAAGATTAAATGCTTTAAATAAGTTTGAATGCCGAGAGACAATGCAAAGTACATACTTTAGAATATTGAGTACTCCTAAAAGTTATACTTTGGAACGCTGGACTTAGTATATATGTGCAAACTACATATTGATAGAGCTGTCAGAATTTATTTTATAAGTTTGGCCTCCTTATAAATGTGGAAGGGTTATAAAAATATGCCAGGGCAATAGGCTTTCCCCATCCTAAATTTCTATCTTAATAGCAAAGAGATTTATAATTCTCTCCTATGGTATTTCTAAACCAGTCTTCACAGTTCACAATTCTGTTTTTCTACTTTACCTTGCTTTTGCCAAAAATGACCTTCACAAACTACTTTATGTCAGGCTGGAGAGATAGCTCAGCAGTTAAGAGTACATACAACTTCTCTTGCAGAGGACTAATATTCATTCCCAGCACCTTCATCAGGGAAATCACGGCCACCTGGAACCCACGCTCCAGTAGGAGCTGACACCTCTACCCTCCTTGGGCACATGCTGTCATGGGCACTAGATTGTATGCTTGCACATGCGCACGTGTGTACACACACACACACACACACACACACACACACACACACACACACACACATGTTTTAAATTAGAAGAGCTAGCCTTTTCATAAACACAAATGTCATAATGCAACTATATAGAATATTAAGTGTATGCTTACACCTAGTTTTAGTTCTGTTCATGCTGTACTTTTTGATACTGTTAAAGTACTAAGGATATTTTGAGCTTTGAAATTCCAAGATATATAAATGAATATTTTGTTTTCTTTAGCTGAACATTCCTTACATTTTTAAAATTTACCTGTGAATAATATCTTAATAAATAGAATCTGCCAAATAAATAATATTGTTATATAACCGTTAACCCCTTGCTGCTTGAAGCATCCTTAAAGATGCTTTTCTCCAAAAGTGATGCTGATGCAGTCTCCTGCACAGATTGATTAGATGAAGGAGGGTGACTATGTGAGGGTGTAGAGGAAGCAGCTCGGGTGTGTTGTGTTGACAGTAGGCCTAGCTTGCTGAGGTTGATAGAGAAGCGGTGAGCGAGGAGACAGATAACCAAAACCCCTATGCCCCACAGAAAGAAGGGCTTTTTTTCTTTTTTGATTTTTGGGGTTTGATTTGTTTTTGTTTTTGTTTTGTTTTCTGTCAGTGATGCTGTACATTCCCATGTAGGCACAGACTCCAGAGATTACAGAGGTGGAGCTCAGCTCACCCCTACTTCTTTAGCATGCAAAATTCCATTGTCAGAATTTGGAGGTTTGCATGTTAATTTTTTTTTAATCTTTAACATTAAAAGAAAAGGCATCCTGTTTTCTCTTGACTCCCTTGTGTGAAGCTTTGTTCATTGGCACAAAAGTTTAGTTCATTTCAGTTCAGAGCTCTTAGACAACTTGAACTTCGGTTTGGTCTCAAAACAACCTCTTCAGGTTCCCCTATGGACCATGCACAGATCCAGTGTCTGACCTGTGACTTCACTGACTGCTGGAGCAGTGGGAGGAATCTTAGGGGCTGTTCTATTGACTTGTCAGTTCCCTGACAGCAAATGCTTTGATTTTCAGTTTACTCTAGAAAGCAGTCTAATAATATATTTTATCCCCTACTTTCCCAGGAGCCCTATCATAACCAAGTGTTTAAAGTGTTTATGAGATTGGGCTTTGTATATATATATTTTAAAATAATAAATAATATACAAGCATTTTAATCTCTAATGGAAATTCTTTTATTTTCATTTTTCTCTTGAAAAGGTAATTGTCACAATCATACTGTCACTTGTGATTGGTGCCATTTACTTTGGTCTGACAAATGATAGAGCTGGAATCCAGAATAGGTAAGCAAATTTGGATTTTTTTCCCCCACTCTGTAGGATAGAAATTAGCATGGACTAGTTCTAAGCAAAAGGAAATTAGAAAGTATATTTTATAAACAAGGTATAGTAGTCTACTCCAGAGGCAAAGCAGCCAAATTTGGATCTTGATTTTGATAAAATACTGTTACTTTCTTTAAGCCTATGAATATTGATTAAGGGCTTAAACTTAACACAAGCTCAGGGTAAATGTCACTGTTTATTTGTGGGAAGGAATGAACTGGTGAATTGAAAACTGCAAGAGTTGGCTTTTTCATACACACAAATGTGTATGTATTGATGTAACCATGCAAAAAATTAAATATATCCTTTTAACCAATTTTAAGTATGTGCAGTTCAGTGGCCTTAAGCACAATCACACTGCTGTGTCAGTTGACAATATCCAACTCCAGATAAGTATTTTTCTTAATGGTTCTACCTTATCCATTAAATTAAATCCATTAGAGTAATTACTCAGTGCCCACCTCACCTCACTCCCTGGGCAGCACCATACTACTTTGTGTCTTTAAATGCAAGTCCTCTACAAGCTTGCTACATGTGTCCTGAGTGTCCTTTGAGGACTGCCTTATTTCCCTTAGTACAATGTCTTAATGGTTCATCCATTTTATAGCTTAATCAGAATTACTTTCCTTTGTAAGACTGATTTAGTCCAGTGTGTGTGTGTGTGTGTGTGTGTGTGTGTGTGTGTTTACTCTCTATGTATGTAGTCAGAGTTTTCTTTCCCACCAGCCAATTCCCAAATAACCACACAGAGTCTCATTGTTAGTTATAAATGATCAGCCAATAGCTCAGGCTTGTTACTAGCTAACTCTTACAACTTAAATTAACCCATATTTCTTATCTACACTCTGCCATGTGGCTTGGTACCTTTTCACATTATGACAAGTTCATCTCCTGCTTCCTCTCCATCTCCTTGTGACTCCCGAGACTACTCCCTTTCTTCTTCAAGCTGTCTTTTTGTCTTTAAGTCCTGCCTAACCTCTACCTGTACAGCTATTGGCCAGTCAGTTTCTTTATTAAATCAATCACAGTGACATGTGTTCACACAGTGTAAAAGAATATTTCACATCTTTTGCATCCCTGTGTTCAGTTCTTTCAAAAACCTTACCAGTAGAAATACTAAACTGTGATGCTTTTTTGAGGAAATGGCCAATTTGTCTTTCCATAACAGCTGTACCATTTTACATTCTTGGTTTTAGCACACAGGTGTTTCAGTTTTTCTACATCATGAGTAGTTATTTTTTAATAATAAAGGTCAATTTGATAGTTAAATACTTAACAGACAATAGTCCTTTGTGTATTTTTTTAAATTTGTTGTTGAGTTTTAAGAATCCTTTATTTTTCTGGGCAATTTTTTTCCTTATCAGATAAATGTTTTACAAGTATTTTCTCTAATTCAGTAGGATATTTTCTCTGTGTATTGATAGTATCTGTTAATGTGTGCAGTCTTTTGATTTCGGTATTGTTTGTTTTTGTCAGTTGCTTGTGAGACAACATCCCTGTATAGGTTTTGATTTATTTGACTTGAAAATTGCATCTGTGGGATTCAGCTCATGTTAACTCTTTGCTGTGATATTGTATAGATTCAGTCATAATTGTGTTCTTGAAAATTTTTTGGAAGATTTGGTTGTGTTTGGGGTTTTGACTGTATGTGTGTCTGTGCATCATAGTTTGTACCAGGTGCCTGAGGATGCCAGAAGAGGGTTTCAGAGTGCTTAGATCTGGAATTACAGATGTTTGTGAGCAGTCATGAGGGTGCTGGGAATCAAACTCAGGCCTCTGGAAGAGTAGCAAGTGCTCATAATCACTGGGATATCTCCCCACCACATTTTTGAAAATTTTGTTTTCATAATAACTTTTTTTGTGTGTGAGATGTGGATCTTACCATGTTTCCCAGGCTGGCTTGATCTCCTCAACTAAAGTTTTTGATCTTCTTGTCTCAGCCTCCCAAGTAACTGCTTCTAAAAGTACATGCTACTAAAGCCAGCTTTACACTGAGGTATTTTAATTGCTGGTCATGCTGTAAGTATATGTGCTCAGTAATAGCACTGACCTCAGAGTCATAATCCATGTCACGATTCACGTATTGAGAACCACAGTTTGCTACAGATATTTAACTCAGTGTTTGGCATCCAGAGGCCAGTATGGGTAGATGGTATTATTCCTTTTTTACTATCAAGGACTGTTGAATTCATTTCATGTCTGGAAAAGGCTGATTCTTTTTTTAAAGAACCCATCTTAAAGTCTATCATTCAGGTCAAATAAATTTTCTTCTGTATAGAGTCAGTATTATTCTAGTGAGCTATTTTCAGAGTCATATCATTGATTTTACCTTCCTTGAAGGTTGAGATAGAAAGATTGTTTCTAAAATTACTAGCAATTGGTGGTTTCTGTGGGTGCTGTTTCTTGAGCTCACACAGCATATACATAAAAACTAAAGACCGTGGACTTTGTACATTGTGTAGTATTTGGGGAAGTAGTTAAGGCTAAAACAATGGCTCAGTTAAAGAGCACTTGTTCTTTTAGGACCGTGAGTTCAGTTCCCAGTTTTAAGTAAATTTACAGTTTTTTGATGGGCTGTATCCTAGTTTCATGTTTTTTTATTGCTTTGATAAAATACTCTGACCAAAAAGCAACTTAGACAAGAAAAGTTTATTTCAGTTCTAGGTTAAACTCCCATTATTTTGGGGAAGTCAAGGCAAGAACTTAAAGAATCACATCCACAGCCAAGAGCACAGCCAAATGTCAGAGGCCAGATCTGACCTGTTGAAGGGTTCTTGTGGGGAAGAGAGAGGAATGAGAAAGTATTAGATAGGAATATAGATGGAGACGATGACCATGATGAGATGATGAGAAAGACAGAGACACAGGATAGTTTTGGGAGGGTCCTGGGTCAATACCCAGTTGCCTCGAGTTTATTTCTAATGAGTTTATTATACACTAGCAAGGGGAGAGGCAAAAGACCTCCCCCTTTCAAGCTCAAAGCACAATGTACAGACAAGTGTAGACCCTTCAAAACACCTGATAACCACACCTTTGTCCAAATCATCCTATTATGCAGCCCTGCTGGGTAAAGCAAGCTCAGACTTTCTTACCTGATTAAGGCCTTACTAGAGAGCTTCTGTGGACTCCCACAAATAAGAATATGGGTTCTCACCTGCTCAACTCAGCTAGCATTCTCTCTCTCTCTCTCTCTCTCTCTCTCTCTCTCTCTCTCTCTCTCTCTTGGTTTTTTGAGACAGGGTTTCTCTATGTTGCTTTGCGCCTTTCCTGGAACTCAGTCTGTAGCCCAGGCTGGCCTCCAACTCACAGAGATCTGCCTGCCTCTGCCTCCCTAGTGCTGGGATTAAAGGTGTGTGCCACCACCACCCAGCGTATTCTCTTTTCTTAAACATGCCAGAGCCGTGCTGCCCATATTCAGGGTGAGGTTTCCACTTCAGCTAACAGTCAGTATGACCCCCACCCCAAGCATACTCAGAGGCCAACTGATGTAGCTAATTCCTCACTAAGACTCTTCCTGGGTGATTCTAGGTTGTATCAAGTTGACAGTAAACTAACCAGTACAGGCTGCCCTGGTAGCCATCTGCTGCTGCATGCAGGGTGCAGCTGGACATGTCTGAAAGGATC